CCTGTCCTTGCTGGTGCTGCCCATGCTGGCTACGACTGTACCCTGTTCAAGGGATAAACCTGCCTTCGGACCCTTCCAATGGTTCCCATCAGTAGAGGACTGCTCCTCACTGCAGAAGGTGCCCCGTCAAAGCTTGCCTGAGCAATGGCACCAGCCTGTGGACATGGACCAGCTGGCCTGCCAGAGTTCCTGGCGTCGGTCCAGGGACTTCAGGCAACGTTCCTCAGGTTCAAGGTGGCGATCGTCAGTGGGCTGGCGCAGACCCATAGAGGCACAGCAATAGTCCTCAGAGCCCTAGTGCTGAGAGCACCCGATCCGCTCGCCCAGTGCATGACACTGCGCGGGGTGGAGACACTGGTCCCTGGAGCCATGCCACTGATCGCCAGACCCCCAGTATGGCTTACCACGAGCACATTGACTGTCTCTGACTCATCAGTCAATTCACTCATGCTCCCGCTCCCAAAGCATAAGGTGTAGATCGTTGGGGTTCTGTTGCAGATCCTCTGGACGATGACACCGGTCACTGAGATCACGGAACCGTGAGTCATCACCCTCTTACAGATTCTCAGCAGAGGCTCGGCCAGGGCCAATGGGATCGGTGTAGACAGGCGGCCTCGGTGCCGGCCTGGTCCCCCAGACATGTATCCCCCTCCTTGGGCTCCGACAGCGAGGAGGAAATCCTGCCTGTGGGCCAGGGCCTACTATCAGGGGCATTGGCATTACCCGCTGGGCCACCATTGGCAGCATGGCCACAGGGACAGTAGCCTGCCCCCTGGCAGCTCTGGAAGCCCTGGGGATTTCCCCAACCTTCTCAGGGGCTGAGGTCAGCATCGGGGGCATCTGACAAACGGCAACAGTCTCCCGTCCCTGGACTCGGACATGGAGTCAGAGCGGGCTCCCCAGGTCCAGCCAGCCTCGCGTGAGGCTCTGACGACAGAGTCGGCAGATTTGGCAGACCCACACATACCTGCCACCTCATCGTGTTCACCCGATGCGGCGATAGTGAGATCTTCTCACCCAGTTCCCCAGGACGATGCTGAGGCTCACCAGGAGCTCTTAAAGAGGGTGCCTCCAACTTGGGGCTGGAAGCCATGGAGTTGGCAGAGTGCTTGGACTTTTTGTTCGACGTACTCAGTGCGGCAGCTCCAGCCAGGGTGGCATTGCCTGTGCACGAGGGGGTGGCAAAAATCATGAAGGCCCTGTGGCATACACCTTCCTCACTGTCATCCATCTCCAAGTGGGCAGAGCGGAAATACTACATTCCCAGCAAGGGGTATGAGTCTCTTTATACCCACCCTGCCCCAAGCTCACTGATTGTGTCGGCAGCCAATGAGCATGACAGACAGGGCCAACCAGGATCGATGCCCAAGAACAAGCCTTCACTTCAGAACCACCGTATACAGTATTCTACAAGGAGAAGGTCCAGCTGCAGCCCCATCCAGCTTTTCTGCCTAAGGTGGTGTCCCCTTTTCATGTCAACCAGGATATCTTCCTCCCGGTTTTCTGTCCAAAGCCGCACTCGACCAATGAGGAGAGGCAGCTGCACACTCTGGATGTCCGGCGCGCCCTGGCGTTCTACCTGGAGTACACCAAACCTTTCTGCAGGTTGACCCAGCCCTTTATCGCGACAGCTGGTAGGATGAAGGACCTTCCAATGTCCTCTCAGAGAATTTCAAATTGGATCACCACCTGCATCCGTACTTGTTATGAGTTGGCTCATGCTGTACCTCCACCAATAGTAAAGCTTCACTCAACTAGGGCTCAGTAGTTTTTGGTTGCCTTCCTGGTGCACGTTCCTGTCGAGGTCAACTGCAGGGCCGCAACATGGTCTGTGGTACACAAGTTCACAACGCATTATGCTATCACCCAGTAAGCCAGAGATGATGTTGGATTTGGCAGAGCTGTCTTGTAGTCGACACATCCATGAATTCCTATCTGCCTCTCGTGGTACTGCTTGGGAGTCACCTACAATGGAATGGACGTGAGCAAGCACTCAAAGAAGAAAAGACAGTTACCTTTTCGTAACTGGTGTTCTTTGAGATGTGTTGCCCATGTCCATTCCATGACCCACCCTCCTTCCCCACAGTCGGAGTTTCCGGCAAGGTGGAACAGAGGGTCAGGGGGAGCCGGTGGCACCCCTTACGGTGCATACGTGCACTACTCCAGAGGGTGCCGGAGCTGGTCCCCTACGAATACCACTGAGGGAAAACTTTGGCACTGGTGCATGTGGTGAGCACACATACAGAATGGACATGAGCAACACATCTTGAAGAACATCAGTTACGAAAAGGTAACTCTCTTTTTCTGAAGGAGAAGCCAAATTCACTTGTACCTAGAGTTTTGTTCATTTAGGGATGTCCTTTATTTGAGTTGAGATTTTTGATATTTTATTTGTTTGGATCATTTTGCTCACTATTGAAGGTTTAAACCTAGTTACATTTGTTATGTATAAAATAATACAGTCTGACCAGTTGTATATATGTACACATTCAAACCTGTCACTTGAAAAGAGCTAATTTCCTAAAGCTGAAAATTATTAGGAGCTGAATTGAATGGGAGGAAAAAGTTAAACATAAGTGTGAATGATGATTGGAAGTTGTTTAAGAGAACTTTTCCAGATGCCCCAGATCCTCACAATTCTGCAATCAATAAAGCAGGCTTTGTCAGTTTAAAAAAGAACTCCTGGTAAAGAAGTGAAGTGAAAGCAGTAATAAAAAACTTGAACAAAAATGAAAATCTAACAAATTGAAAGAGAGGGAAGCTGATAGTAGTGATTGTATATTAAGCCATGAAGTATAGACACCTTATAAGAGAAGCTAAATGTATTAATGAAAAATAATTAGTCAGTAGGATTAATGACACAAGGAAAAATGTTTTACAGTGTATCAGGAATGTAAGAAATTATAGCAGAGGTATCTATTAATAGACAGGGACAATAAAATTGTTAATGTTGCAGAAAAGATGCGTTAAATGTTTCTGTTCTGTATTTGGGACAAAGCTGGTTGACACATTCAATTTACAGCAATAATGAAATACTTTATATTCCCATATATGTTAAATGATTGTAGTACAATTAATGCCAGTTATCATGGTTTTATGGAAAACAAGTCTTGTCAAACAAAGTTGATCATGTTTTTTGACGAGATTAAAAGTCTAACACATTTCTTTTGTCAACATAACATACTTTGATAAGGCATTGTACTATATAACATTTGCTATATAAAAAGTAACACATTAAATGGATCAAAAACTGGCTAAATGATAGATCTTGAAAAGTAATTGGGTGGCTGCCCCATTTACAATGGGGGGATTTCTTAGTGGGGTCCCACAGAGATGTAATGATTGTGACCCAATTCTATTCAATATCTTTTTCAATGATCTGAAAGTAAATGTAAAATCATTGCTGGTAAAATTTGCAGATGACACCAAAAGTTAAATAAGGTAAATAAGGATAGGTCAGTCATTCAGTGCTCTCTGGATTGCTTGGTAAATAGGGTTTACTTGTATATCAAGTTTTAATATCCTTAAATACAATGTCATACATCTAGGAACCAAGAATGTAGCTCAAGCTTATAAGATTGGGAACTGTGGAATTTGGAAAGGAGTAACTCAGAAAAGGATTTAGAGTCATAGTGGAAAACCAGGTCAAGATGAGCTCATAGTGCAATGTGTTGGCTAAGCAGGGGAATGTTGAGTAGAAGTAGGAAAGCGGTATTACCTTGGTATACAGCATTGGTGAAACCATTGCTGGAACATACTGTCCTCTTCTGGTGTCCACATTTCAACAAGGATGTTGAGAAATTGGAAAGGGTTCAGAAAAGTGCTATACAAATGATTTGAGGTCTGGTAAATCCATCTTACAGTGAAAGACTTAAGAAGCTTAATTTGTTCATTTTAAGAAAAAGATTTAAGGGCCTCTCAATCATGGTCTTTAAATACATACATTGGGAGAAGATTTTTTATAGTAGATGGCTCTTTAAGCTGTCAGACAAAGTCACAACAGGATCCAAAGGGTGGAAGTTGAAGCTAGACAAATTCAGATTAGAAATGAGAATTTTTAAAAGTTAAGGTGATTAATCATTGCGACAGCTTATCTAAGGATGTGATGGATTCTTCATCATTTGAAGTCTTTAGATCATGATTGGTCTTTCTGAAAGAGATGCTGTAGCTCAACCAGCAGTTATGGGCTTGTTGCAGAAGTTACCATTTGAAATTCTCTAGTCTGTGTTATGTAGGAGGTGAGACTAAATGATCATAATGATCCCTTCTGGCCTTAAAATTGACGAAGCTTGTTGTTTTAGAGAGACACTTTGTGTGACTTCCCCGCCCCCCCCTTTTCTCCTTATTCAAATTGTTAGCCGTAGCGTAGTTCCTGCTGCCTGTTGTAGTTATGGGATGTTTTTTCTTTGGGAACATCCCCCAAGCTCTCTGTTCTCTAGGAGTGAGAATTCTGCATGGATGTGGGATCGTTCGAGAAGGGGGAATGACTTATCTTGTCACTCTAATTCTCTGAAGAAACCTTCTCGAAGGATTTTCTCTCATGTGCTCTCCTGCCAGCTGTATTTGAAAGGGAACTTTCTTAAAATGGGGTTTCTTTCATTTTTGTACATGATCTTTTTGAAGCATAGTTTTTAAATCCTTTTTGATTTGTGACATGCTGCTCTTTTTTTTTCTTGGTGTCTCTGCTTTCTGCTCAGCCAGAAACTGTCTGAAAGATATGAATGGCAATCATTAGAATCCTGGGTGGTGCATGATCACCAGGGTGTGTCTTATGTGACCCCCGTCCTTAGCGATCAATAGGTTTAGTACTTGAAGTGTTCATCTATCTCAAACTAGGGATCACAGGCCCCAGGAGTGAGTCCTTGCCAGATGATATCTTCAGAGAAGCAGAAAGACCAAGTCGTTGCTCCTTTTGCACTGTAACTGTCATAAAAAAAAAAAAAAGTTCATTCTTTCATGTCCATACTAAACTCATTTCTTCTTGTGGATTGTATTACTAGGAGGCTGGAGCCCACAGAGAAACCCCTTCAGATTGTGTACGAGTACTTGGCTGGGCTCGGCTTTGAGGATCTTGTGAGAATACAGGAAGAGGCAGCAAACTCTGATCTCAGCTGCATGATTCGCTTTTACAATGGTAAGGATTTGTATATAACAGGTCACATCAGACACCTAACATGTATCACTGGATACTGCTTTTAGAAATAAGCTGCCAAGGTTACTAAGAGAAACATTTTACAATTCAGATCTTTTGTTCTCTCAAGAGAGCATTTGTTGCATGGTTTGGGATGAAACAGACCCTTAGGGAGTGATGTTTTGGCTTATATCTTTATTTTTAATATTTGTATTACCATAGTGCCACAAAGCTGCGCTGCACAAAGCGTTAAACATTTGAAGATGCAATTCCTGCCCTGAAGAGTTTACAATGAAAATGACCCTTGAATCAAGGGAAAAGAGGGATGCAGTAAAATACTTGTTTATAATTTTAAAAAGTGCAAAGTGCCAGCTAACCCTGTCTGACCCCTAAGTCTTCATTAGCTGATATAAGTGAATCACAGAGGTGAGTTTCGAGAGCTTTGGAGGAATGGGTATGATGGCCTTATGGATCGAGTTGAGGAAGGTGATGCATGCCATAAGGGTTAGCATGGAAGAAGGCATAGTAGTGTTCATAGAATCATAGGACTGGAAGGGACTTTGAGAGGTCATGTAGTCCAGTCCCTTGCACTCATGGCAGGACTAAGTATTATCTAGACCATCCCTGATGGGTGTTTGTCTAACCTGTGCTTAAAAATCTCCGATAATGGAGATTCCACAACCTCCCTAGGCAATTTATTCCGGTGCTTAGCCACCCTGAGAGTTAGGAAGTTCTCCCTAATGTCCAACCTAAACCTTCATTGCTGCAATTTAAGCCCATTGCTTCTTGTCCTATCCTCAGAGGTTAAGAAGAATAATTTTTCTCCCTCCTCTTTGTAACAACCTTTTATTTACTTGAAAAATGTTATCATGCCCCTCACCCAGACTTCTCTTTTCCAGACTAAACAAACCCAGTTTTTTCAATCTTCCCTCATAAGTCATGTTTTCTACACCTTTAATAATTTTTGTTGCTCTTCTCTGGACTTTCTCCAATTTGTCCACATCTTTCCTGAAATATGGTGGCCAGAACTGGACACAATGCTCCAGCTGATGCCTAATCTGCATGGAGTAGAGCAGACTAATTACTTCTTGTGTCTTGCTTACAACACTCCTGCTAATACATCCCAGAATGATGTTCGCTTTTTTGCAACAGTGTTACACTGTTGACTCATTTCAAGTAAGAAGCTGCCAAATAGGCGGAAGAGACTGGCATGATTGATTGAACAGGAAGACTGGCGGTGAAGCAGTAGGAGGTGGTAGGTGCAGAAGAAGAAGAGAATGAGGAAAACTGTTAAAATTAAAGGGTTACTTGATTTTCTAATGCATTAACTGCTTCTCCTCTTTATGTACTTCAGGGAAAGTTTAAAATGTTTCATGATAGTCTGCAGTGGGCCACACTTAACTGTTTTATATTGAAAAAGGAAAACCAGGGTAATTAATTTAATCCTTTGGACCTGGGACCCACCGCCTTACCAGTACCACAGGAAGGAACAATGTTCAAGATAGGAGATAGTGAGGGTCTGGCCAATGGGTTTATGCTGTTTGGACAGAAAGAAGAGGGTGGATCATAATGTAATCTAGGAAGTAATAGTATATTTTAAACACAGTCTGGATTTGTGAGGTGAAAGAGGGAGGAATCAGAGAAGGTGACTGAGAAAGATATCATTAGTGACAGAGTGGAGAGGGCTTGGGAGGAAATATCAGGAATTTGTTTTTGAGTGTGTTAAACATCACCTGGCAGTTTAACATTCAGAAGGAGATGACATACAGGCAGAGATGCCACTCAGGTGATGGATTTATGACATACAGGCGGAGCCTGGAGGCAGACAGTCAGGAGTGGAGAGGTATCTCAGAGTCTTTGGCAAAAGATGGTAGTTGAAACTGTGTAGCTGAGTAAAATCACCCACAAAGAGATCATAAAGGAAAAAGAGGAGAGGACTGAGGATAGAACTTTGGAGGACCATATAGAAAGTGACAGAAGAGGATCAATTAAAATATGCTGAAGGAGTGATCTGAGAGATAGGAGAATCGTGCAAAGACAGTCGCAAAAGTCAAGACGGTAAGATTTCAAGGAGTGTATGGTTGAGAGTGTCAACCAGAAGAAATGTCAGAGGATGAGGATTGAGTACAGGCCCTGGATTTGGGTCAAGAAAAGTCAGAGGAAACATTGCTGAGAACAGTTTTGGTGGAGTCACTTCACTCATGTGGGGCAACACCTCCAAGAGGGCACAACAGCAGGCTTGCAACGATTTTACTGATTTCTTCCCCCATCCTCACCCCTACAAACTTGTGACTGTTGTTTCCCTTATTCCCTTTCCTGTTTCCTTCAGGTGTTAGGGGCAATTCCTTTTCAGGTGGTAACAAAGTCCAACCATCAGGCCAACCATCAGGCCATAGGGGTCGTAAGAACACGAATGGGGGAAGCTGCTGGTAGAGAGCCTTCTATGCTGGCCAGTAAGGTAGGTACAGAGATACTAGTATGATGAACTTGCTCACAATGAGGACCTGCAGGACTGGTTAGTGGCATGGTCACAGGGACCTGGGAGCCTTAAAGGGCAGGGAATTTACTAGACTGGCTGTAGAATAGATTCAGAGAGCATGAGGTGGGGGCTATCTCTAAACTAGCCGCGGGAGGATGGAGATCAGGGTACTTCCTAGACTGAATATAGGAATCTGTAAGTGTTTGTAAGGGAATCTTCTGTGCTCTGGCAGCAGCTCAGCTGCCAGTAGAAAGATAGTGTCTTGCTGAGTCACCATGCTGGGCACTGAGGTCATGGTGTAATAGATAACAATGAATATTTTAGCCCAGTGGGATGGACACAGCATAAGGAAGGAGAGGCATTTTGTGTCCTGGGGATTTGCCTTGATTGCAGCCATTGCAGACCACCAATGCACCAGTGCAAACTGGCTGCTTGTTGGTAGTGCTACCTGTAGTTATAAGACTGTTTCTTCTTCGAGTGATGGTCCCTATGTGGATTCCAAACACGGGGTGCACATGTGCTCCATGTGCCAGAGCTGGAACTGTTCATAGTAGTGTCCATTGATCCGCATGTGTGTCGACCACATAGGGTGTCCAAGGCTTTAAGATGCTGTGTGGGTCGACGCCGCTCCAGTTCCCTCTTACTGCCACGTGGCCAGAGTTGGAACCCCTGTTCCTCAGTGCTCTTAGCTCTCTAAGAGGAGTTCTTTTTCCCTTTCCTGGGGACGATGCACTGGCAAGCTGGCTTCAAGAACTGTGCTTTGTGCCATCACTCCTTTTCAGTGAGCGACAAGCACACTCATTGTCTTTACTGTCTTGGCGAAGCCCACATAGTCTCTCATTGTTCCATCTGCCGCTCATTTCCATCCAGGACTCAAGCAGCTTGTGAACTTCCCCTCCAGAAATATCTGATGGAGGAGGTGATGCAGCTGTGTGTACAACCAGACCTGGCTCCACCAGACGTGCCACAACAGCGCCTGCCACTGGCAGTGAGTGCTTTGCTAGGCCCATCTTGTGTGGTACCTGTGGCACCGCTGCACCCACCAAAGCCCCACCATGTGCACGAGAAGCATGGGCACAAGGGCGGCTCCCCGACGGGGACTACCTCAAAATGCAGCGTTACCTCCCTGAGCCATGTTAGGTTGGGCAAGAAGTTGCACTTAGCTGTGAATACTCCTGCTCCAAAAAAGGCTCATACGGTGCACTGATCCAAGCGCCGTGGTACATCGCAGGCTCCTCTGCTGCCTCTTCAATATTCTTCCTCTGCTGCCTTGTCTGCTCCGGCGCCTGGGCCACTTCCTTCATCCTTGGACTGGACCTTCCAGCCTGTCCTTCCTGGTCGCGCACGCTCCAGGGCAATTATCTCCCCTGACACCAACGTCTCAGCTCTTGCTGCCCTTGGTCGGCTCTTCCCCACACTCCGGACCGCCACCTATTTCGAGACTCCCCTCTCCAGTGGATGAGTCCCCCGTGCTCCGTCCTTCTCCACTAGCACTGGTGACAGACAAACCCCTTCTACTTGTCGAACATCCTCTTGGACCTCGTCTTGCACCGATGGCTCCACTGACATTAACATCTCCTCTTCTGCTGGACCCTTCTTCTGAATCTGAGTGGTCCTCCGACCTGGACACTGATGCCTGATGATCTCTACACCTGGCCCTACTGCCCATTTGGGACACCTACCATGATTGTGGGATGCACTGCCCACATCACCTGCCATCTCCCATCCACACTGCTCCCTTCCACATGGAGCCTCTGATGTTCCCACTCCGTCGGCACAATCAGCACCTGTGGTTCCCATGGGTGCCTCCCTCATTCCACCTGCCCCCCACCACCTGATGACTATGCCCAATACCACGGCTTGCTCCACTGTATGGCTGCTGTGCTTAATCTTTCTCCAGCCTCTGGGACCTTCCCGTACCAACTTGCCCATCCACGACATCATTTTGCAGCCAGCCCAGGCTGTTTGATACATGCCAGCCTCCTGCGCCCCTATGCTGAAGCTGGTGGATCGCCGCTACTTCATGCCCTCTAAGGGTATGGGCTTTCTCTTTACCCACTTGCTGCCCAAATCCCTGGTTGTCCACACAGCCACTAAGCGCACCTATCAGCAGGACTTTAAATCTGCCCCCTCCTGATGACACTAGCAAAAAGCTGAACCTACAAGGCCACAAGGTGTATTTGTCCGTGGATCTTCAATTCCACGTTGCCAGCTACCAGACTATCCTTGCCAAGTAGGATTACCTGTCCAATTTTAAGCTAGCGGATTTTCAGGATTTCCTCCCTCTGGAAAAGCAGAAGGACTTTCAGCATCTGTTGGATGAGGGCAAATTGGTGGCCAAGGTACCTCTCCAAGCTGCTGTTGATGCCACCGACACTGCGTCATGCTCCTTGGTGTCCGGAGTAGTGCTCCGCCTCGATTCTGGCTCCAATCTAGCAGTTTCCCTAAAGAGGTCCAGACAACCCTTGAGGACCTTCATTTTGACAATCATAAATTATTTAGTGACAAGACGGCTGAGTCTCTC